GCACTATTGCCTCTTATTCCTGCTTTTAGCTGACAGGCTTGAATGCTGGGTGCACTTCTGTTTGTATTCAACGGGATTTGTAGAATATAATATGGCACTAGTTTGTGGGTGTGCATGTGTTTGTATGGGTATGGGTATTTATAATCAGTATAAAATATAACATAGCATATCTAAAATGAAACAGAAGTATAACATATGATCATTTCTATTCATAAAATCCCAATTTGGTAATATGTATACAATAAGATAAAGATTTGAGAAGATACATCTAAAAAGTTTTGAACGACTGCTTCTATCAAAGAAAAGCTACCAGACATGTGCATTTCCTGGATACTACTGGCCATGATTTTAAAAGGATGCTCTAAGTACCAAAACAGCTTTAGCTGAATGAAGTGGTTTTGGTGCCTAGATTATGCTCCTGCAGTTTCGCTGCTCAATTTTCTGCCATTTAGGAGTTAAATCACTTGGTTTATGCAGCCATAGTCACACCTCCCTAGCTAACAAAAAAGTGGTCTTATTAAACTTTCTTTATTGCACATTGTGTGTTTAATTTACTAATTCCTATCTACTATAGCTTGAATTGCTAAAAACATTTAATGCTGGCCATGATAGAATGGTATCAGAGCACACAGTGCATCGCAGTTTGCAGAGTTTGGGACTGCATAGCCAATGAAAGGTTAGTGTCCATGATGATCCTTGTCACCACCAAAAGTGCCTTCAGTAGGGACATGATTGTCAAAAATAACAACTCGTACTGTTGTCCAAACTAATTAACAACTTTTGTTTTAAAAGAACACAACAACAGAGAGTTCAATGACACAATTTTTAAATAATGATATAAATAGATAAAATTAAGCTTATATTTATTAGTATCTCCAACAAATGCTATACATACACACACAGACTGCTGAATATATGCACACAGTCTGCTGAATACACACACACACACACACAAGACTGCTGAATACAGAGACTGATGAATACACACACACACACAGTCTGCTGAATACACATACAGACAGCTGAGTACACACACACAGACTGCTGAGTACACAC